AGGACAGTCTACAATGCGACTATGTGTCGCATTTAATCCAGAAGACATGGTGCCCACAATTGAAGAGTGTATCACTCTGGTACATTATAAAGGACTCAGAATGAACCGGGTCTACATCAAGCACAATGAAAGTCTATCTTTGAAGAACTGATTGGCAGATGTTGTAGGGGCAAGATGAAGGGAGTCCCTTCAAATACAACAATGGCAAAACAATAGCTGAAATTGGAGACCCTTGCTGACGAATTCAAGAAACAGACAAATGAACTTCACATAGTTCCTATAAATTGAGGGCTCCAATGATGTATTCGTTGGGAATAGTTTCAACAAAAGATAAATGCCAGAGATGCAATCATTCGAGACTTCTTGAGCTAGTACAAAAAACATCTCAATATTTTCATGGTTCATCCAGAGAAGCCAGAGCGGTTCGACAGGTTATTCAACCGGTAACAGACGAAGGCAGAAGACTAGTCAACATGTCAGAAGCTGTCAGGATATTTTTGTCTCTTAAAAGATAAAACACTTTTGCCTCCAATAAGGATTATTTCTAATAACAGACATATTTTTTTATCAATGCCTCGAACATTGCATGCATCATGCATTCCTGCATATTTCGCATTATTTTTCTTTTTTATTATATTCACATGTCTTATAAAAAATGTGAACTTTTTGATTATATTCCCATGACCTACAAAGAGCTTTACCAGCAACTTCTTGACACCCGTGTAGTGTCACCATACCTGGTGGAAACCATGAAGTCCCCATACCCCAAGTGGTATGACGAGAATGCTTATTGTGAATATCACGGCGGTGTCTCAGGGCACACAATTGAGATTTGTTACGCATTCAAGAGAGTCATACAAAAGATGTGTAACCAGAACTGGATAGACTTCAACAACTTGGGGCATCCAAGTGAGGAAGATCATTTCATCATTTGAGGCATTCTGTTTGAATTTGTTTTTCATTTTTTTCTCAAGTTTTTGTAAGGACTTTTAAATAAATTTATGTTACTTTAAAGACATTAAGCAATGAATCACATTTGCAAACTTGCAATTATTTGAATATCATATGAATTTAGAAACTCTGTAAATGGTTCAAAGTTACAGATCTTTGATGAAGTAACATGATTTAAAACAATGAATTTGACTTTACCCAGAATATGCACTCAAACACCGTACCCTGCTCTTGTAATAAACCAATATAATATTTTCCTTTCATAAGGTGCGGACAACATGGGGCATCCTTTTGCATATGACATTAGTATTATCTTTACAGATGGAATAGTCGAGTAGGTAAATCTAGATTAGGTCAGTTGCTTGGAAATTAAACTCTAAAAATGAGATTCATTGAAATTCAACAACACCTAGACTATAACAGGTTCTTCTTGACAAATTTAAGAAATTAAATCCGTAAAGCTGAGCTATTCCACTAAGGAAATTGGTTATATAGGAAACTTGAAAGCCCTGGCCTTATGAGTAGATTACGTTTAAACCATGACATTGCTCGAACACTTGGCAATTCGGTGTTTGCTCCACTACTACTGTCCGGCCGAAGACTTTGTGATGAGATGAACCCTTCAGTTAACTTGATTATAATTTTAAGTTGTCCCTCTAAAGCAATTGGTTAAACGCCCCGGCTTTATGGATTCAGCTAGCCAGATAACAGCAAATTAAATCAAATTTATCTAAGCAAGAAATTTTCGGTAATGATGGACTAAGGGAGTTAAGGAACACCTGTTATAGTCAACTTCACACGAGCACTCAGGAATTTCATTTTTAGACCGATATTTCTGCACTACCTTTGTTAGAGGAGCTTACGAGGCTTGAACAAATAGAAGATTTCATAGGACCGAAATAAAATGTATAGTAATTGATCATGCTAGTTTGTGTTTTGTTTGCACCCAATTAAAATGCCAAACAAAAAAAACACGTTGCATAACAAAAAAAAACTTTTTATGGCTGAAACCTTAGGTTAACCTAAAGCCAACTCATCCATTTGAACATTTGTCAAAGAGCTGTAACTCTGAAAGCATTAAAAGAGCTATTGATTCATTTGATATACTTTGAACTCATGTTTATAATTTGATTCAATTGCGAATAATATTTTACAGAATTTTTATCTTTTTCCCTCCTAAAACAAGAAAAATGAGAAAAACATTTTCAAACAGGACAATCTCAAATATGAAAGGTCTGTAAAGCCAAAGCTTGAAATAGGGCATGGTCGATTCCAACGACAAGACCAACAGACAAAAATGAGGCTCCATCCAAGAGATAAAACAGAATTAATTCATGTTGCATGCATCTTAGACACACTTAAGAGCATCACATTTATCATTTTTAGCACACATATTTTTTTTTATAGATTTTAGAGTGAAATTTCAACTTCAAGATGAAAGATGATCGATTCAAAAAGTGCATTCGAAAATTGATGGTGGTTGCTCAACTTCACAGCGAAGGGGCGACTGACGGTCAACAAACAACTTTTCAGTTTCATTCAGAGTCGATTTCAACTTCACAGCGAAGGATATTGGACTCGAGACAACACAAACTCAACTTCACAGCGAAGGGGTGACTGACTGTCAACAAATAACTTTTCAATTTCATTCAGAGTCAATTTCAACTTTACAGCGAATGATATTGGACTTGAGACAACACAAGCTCAACTTCACAGCGAATGGGAGGCTGACTGTCAACAAATAACTTTTCAGTTTCATTCAGAGTCAATTTCAATTTCACAGCGAATGATATTGGACTCGAGACAACACAAGCTCAACTTCATAGCGAATGGGCGTCTGAGTGTCAACAAACAACTTTTCAGTTTTATTCAGAGTCAATTTCAACTTCAAAGCGAAAGATATTGGACTCGAGACAACACAAGCTCAACTTCACAGCGAAGGGGTGATTGACTGTCAACAAAAAACTTTTCAGTTTCATTTAGAGTCAATTTCAACTTCACCGCGAAGGATATTGGACTCGAGATAACACAAGTTCAACTTCACAGCGGAGGGGCGACTGGTTGTCAACAAACAACTTTCCAGTTTCAGAGTCAATTTCAACTTCACGGCGAATGATATTGGCCTCGAAACTGCACAAATATTTGAATTTCAACTTCACGACGAATGATATCCAATTCGAGGCTCAAATTTACAACGAAGGGGCCATCCACGGTTTCAACTTCAGGACAAAGGGAATCGTGCCCACCAAAGGCCTTCGAGTTCAACACAGCTCCAAGGCATATCATTTGCAGTATAACTTAAGTCAAGAAGGGTTATTTGCCAACCGAAGACCCTCGAGTTCGATTACACTCAGCTTTGAGGGCACATTATTTACAATATAACTCAAGGCTAGAAGGGTTATCTGTGACCAAAAGACCTTCGAGTTTGACTACGCTCAGCTTCAAGGCATATCATTTACAGCATAACTTAAGTCGATAAGGGTTATCTGTCAACCAAAGACCTTCGAGTTTGACTACGCTCAGCTCCAAGGCACATCATTTGCAGTATAGCTTAAGTCGAGAAGGGTTATCTGCCAAAGACCCTCGAGTTCGATTACACTCAGCTTCGAGGGCACATCATTTACAACATAACTCAAGGCTAGAAGGGTTATCTGTGACCAAAAGACCTTCGAGTTCGACTACGCTCAGCTTCAAGGCATATCATTTACAGCATAACTTAAGTCGATAAGGGTTATCTGTCAACCAAAGACCTTCGAGTTTGACTACGCTCAGCTCCAAGGCACATCATTTGCAGTATAGCTTAAGTCGAGAAGGGCTATCTGCCAAAGACCCTCGAGTTCGATTACACTTAGCTTCGAGGGCATATCATTTACAGCATAACTCAAGACTAGAAGGGTTATCTGTGACCTAAAGACCTTCGATTTCGACTACGCTCAGCTCCAAGGCATATCATTTGCAGCATAACATAAGTCGATAAGGGTTATCTGCCAACCAAAGACCTTCGAGTTCGACTACGCTCAACTCCAAGGCACATCATTTGCAGCATAGCTTAAGTCGAGAAGGGCTATCTGCCAAAGACCCTCGAGTTCGATTACACTCAACTTCGAGGGCACATCATTTACGGCATAACTCAAGGCTAGAAGGGTTATCTGTCAACAAAGACCTTCGAGTTCGACTCCACTCAGCTCAAAGGAACCATCGTTTGCAGCATAGCTCAAGGCAAGAAGAGATATCTGCCAAAGACCTTCGAGTTCGATTTCATTCAGCTCGAGAGCGTATCAACCGTGTTGCATCAGCAAGGAACTACTTTCCGATCAAATTTTTACACCCAGGTCTCTAAATCGAGAATAAGACCAAGGTCGACCAAGATTGGCAACAAAGAGTCACTTTCCGATTCCCCGCGATTTCAACTTCAAGAAGAATGATATCGTGCCCAATGGATAGACTTAGTGTCACAACAAACACTATCAAGTCTTAAATTAAAGAGAACCGGACAAAAAATGGTTGTCTTTTTCATTTTTGCCCTATTCTTGTTAACACAAAAATATGCAAAGAGGGGCAGCTGTAGACACCTGTTTTTGTCCGGGTCTACAAAAACATTTTATTATATTTATTTATTTATTATTATTATTATTATTATTATTATATTTTTATTTTATTATTTTTGTAGGCCCCGCACTTAACAACCTCGATTTAGTGAGATTCAGAAAATAAACCAACTTATTTGAGTCATATTGAAACACTAAAACCAACATATTTAAGTCCTATTGAAACACTAAAACCGAAGCATTTTGAGTCCAAGTAAAACTCTAAATCTGAGCTAAAATTATATTTCTTTAGACTATAAATAGACTCATGCATCAAGAGGAAAGGACGGAGAAAAACGTGGAACCAAAATCAAAGGAAGGGGCAACGATTTAGAAAACTAAGGGAAGAAAGGACAAAAATAAGCGTGGAGGGAAGCCGTGGAGGATCCAAAGCCAGTATCTAAAAGCACGAGAAGTGACAGAGCATTTTCATTGCAAATCCAGTTTCTCCACACGCAAAACATGGGAGATGTAACAACTTTTAACTTATTCTTTTTATTTCATTTTTTATTTATTTACTTTATATGTATTTTTCATTTTCTCCTAATTTTAATATTTTTATTTATTTTTACATTGTTTTATATATTTATTTATTTATTTTTTTCATTTTTTATTAATATTATTATATTAATATTTTTTATTATTCTTTTCTCATGTTTATTTTCATTTTTACAATCCAACACTTTTGACTTTTTAGGGATACTTTTAATCGATCAAAGATAATTAATTCGAATTGAATTTTTAAATTTCAATTTAAATTTTGATTTTCGCGATTAAGACAACCGATGAATTAATTGGTACCAAAAGGGCGGTTTAAGGGTGCTAATCCTTCATTGACCGTAACCGACTCCCGAACCTGACACGTTTCTGATACAACGCAGATCATGTAAGATGATGTCCGACCTACCTAAATTTGTTTTAAATGGTCAGTGGCGACTCCAATTCATTTAATCCAAGTAGAAACCCAATTCGGGGCCCAACCGAAAGATAGTTCCGACACGATGGAAAACAAAGACGAAACAACCATCAAAGAGGGTGCCCTTCACCCACCTCGAACAAATCGACTCTGACTTAACCATGGCTATGGCATTGCAGGAACAAGAAATAGCTTCTTCAATGATCGAGAGTGATGATAACAAAGAGTACGATACCGAGGCATCCTACAAAGAAAGCAACGTTAACGATTACGAGTATTTTGAAGGCCTTGAAGTCGGAGATTACCTAGAGTTTGAAGATATGGAGGAGGACGATGATTTTGAAGAAGAAGATGATGAGATATATCCAGACGATTTATCATACGAGGAGTTGATTTCAATGGGGGAGATTATAGGAGTGGAGAAGAGAGGGTTATCTCCGGATGAAATTTTACCGTGCTTGATTCGATGCAAGTTTCGATACGTCGAGTGCAAAACTGAAGTCGATCGGTGCGTGATTTGTCAAACTGATTATGAAGAAGATGAAGATGTTGTGGCTCTTCGGAATTGTGACTATCCATATCATTCGGATTGTATATCCAAATGGCTTCGTAAGAAGATTTGCCCCATTTGTACCACTGAAATCTCATCCTCCAAGAATTAAGGTTAGGAATTATTAAGAAAGTTAATTAATAGTGATGATTCATGCGATGTTACATATTCAAAACTTCAATTTATTACTAATAAAATTAGTTATTTTTAATTTTAAATATTTTTAACGATGTGTTGGTATGTATGTAATTCACTACCTATGTATATTTATACACTAGAAATTAAGATATCAATTATAAACAAACTCTGTGAATATCAATAATATTATCTTAATTTATTGATAAATTTATTATTTATAACTAATATGATTATTAGGGTGTAATACAATATAGTAATATGCTTCACCAACTTTCTCTTACCCATAGATTATGAATTATTTACTTATTCTCATAATACTTAAACTCTAAACTCGATAGAAGAATCATTAAACCCTAAACACTAGAGCAGACTAAAGGTAAGGTTGGAGCTTTAAGCTCGGGGCAAAAATTCTAAAAAAATATTTAGATTTAAATATGATGATTTAAGAGAAATTGACGTTAGGATGACTGAAAAAATAATAACTTTGAAAAAAAATACTTCAACTATCTAAATAAAAAAGATAATAACTTTAAATATTTATTTCAATGAAAATATATAAGTATTTAGAGGAATAACATATATAATCTTTATTATTAATTTATAGTATAAACCTTATCAACCCATTACTTTAAGAAAATAAATATTCTGAATAAATTAATTAAAGAAATTTCAATATTGTGAAACATGACATGGCAACCATCCATAACAGGCTTTACTTAGAAAACAATTTGGCTCGGAACAACTCTGCACGTCTTTTTGCATGTGAATAATTTAGAAATACATTTATTTATTTATATTAATATTGGGGTAAATAAGAAAACGGAAAAAAAAGTAGATTAATCATTGTTAACTATAGAGCAAGAAAGCCTTCAAGTTTAGTTAAATAATTCATATCGTCACTTTGGGAGTTTACATTTTGTTGGATTAATTAGAATTTGTGATTAACAAAAATCAATCGATCAAATTAAATTTCAAATTAAAATACACAAAATCCAAAAAAAAAAACAATTTTCTATAATATGTTATTACAATCAATCAACAAATTTACACAAAATGTAATCAACCAAAAATGAATAACACAAAATCAAAATTGAAAAATATCATCAAAAGGTCCATTTCCAAATCTTAACCCTAAAATCAACCTTACATTTTGCATTAGAATTTGAACCAGTTGTTGCAGATTTCCCCTTAGGAACAGTCATCTTAATCCCTTTACAGATAACCCTAATTCCAATTTTTGGGGCCTTTAAACCTCCAATTTTAGCTTTCACTTTGGTATCAAGCTTCATCTTCAATGGCAACCCTTTCTTGTTCTTCAAGGCAACCCTTAACTTCCCTGCTGATGAGTCATCAAGCTCTTCGTTTCCACCACTGATGGCAGCTTTCAAAAGGGTATTGTTTTTAGAGCCATGTACGAAGGAACCGAATGAACCGACCCCAATAGCAACGTCGTTTTCTGTGGTGAGAGATATGGCTATGAGATCATAAATGTAGATGAATTTTTTGTGAGGGTTTTTGGCATTGACACTGAGGTTGATGTTGGTGAGGAGCTTTCAAGATGAAGTTATATTAAGGGTTTTGACTTTGAGGGAGGAGACTGTGAACGCGGGGCGGTGAGGGTGGTAAATGAGTTATAGAATGGTGGCGGATGCGGCGGTGAGTAGGATGAGAAGGAGGATGGTGATGATGGTCTAAATGCAACATGAACAACAACAGGAACGACGATGTTTGGGTTGTGGACGGTAGAGAGGACCGTTGGCTTCGTATAGTTGAGCTTTTGTGGCTGGGAAGGAAGGGTTGGCGGCAATGCCGGAGCCAGAGCTGTTTGTGGCTTGTTTGGACGGAGGGAAAACTGTGTCATGGTGGATTGATCAAAGAGAAAATAATTGTATGCCCTTTCTTTATATTAATTGTATGTAACGTGGGATTCACGAAAGTTTGAATGCATGTGGCGATTTGTGTTCAACTCAAGCAAAGTAAGGTGGAGGGTTGGGTGAGGTGTCTTATGAGTTAACAACGTGGCAATTTAGAGTTAGTAATGTTTAGGATGATAAATAATTAGGATATGGTTGGTTGGCTCACATAATAAATTTTTATAATATTTAATTTTAATTAATTAATTAATAGATTACTTATTAATAATGATATAAAAATTAAGACGATAAATAATCTATTTGGCTTTTTTTAATTTTAAATATTTATTAAGTTCAAATAATTTTAATAAAAAAACACTTGGTTTTGTGGTTAGAGACACATAAATCTTTTAATTAAATTAATTAATTAAAATGAAGGGCTTTTAAGAGTATGCATTAAAGATTAAGGGTTTATTAAGATATTAGTAAATATATCCGAATGAATTGATTAATTTCACCTAAACCTGACCTTGAAAATTTTAAATAAAACTTATTTAATCTATCTTAAAATCGAGTCGATTTTTTTTAAAAAAAATCTCATTTCTATAAAATCAAATTAAACTAAAAGGAAGGATTGTCCCAGTTTTAACTTGAGACATGATGTCAACAAGAACTTTAATGTGGCATGTTTTGTCATTACTCCACAAGTTTAATTGACTATCAATTTAGTTATATGTGATGATTTTTCACCTAGAATTGTAAGACCTAAAAATCCCAAATCTAATGTACCATATAATAATCCTATAAATATTACATGTAAAATAATTAAAATATTTTATAATATATATGAATATATCAAAATATCAAAATCTACATAACATAAATTATTAATCTATAAAAAATTACAAACATAAAATGCTATAAATATGATTATAACATGAGGAAAATATATCAATATGGCATGCTGGTATGAATTTCATATTTTAAATTTAATGACAATATAAAATAAATAAATAAAAATCAATACGAAATCCAAGAAACGACTCGTATTTGATCACCTTAAATAAGTGTCATTAATAAATACTTTACTACAAGAATATATAATTGGGTTAGATAAATATTGAGTTTAAATGAATGCTTGATTATCATATATCCATATCATTTATCAACAAACATGGATGTTTAATTTCCATGTTGCCTAATCTAGTTTAGACTTCCCTCTCTATTAAGGAAGCTGGTCCCGGCGTTAAACCGAGCACAAAACCGGCATCTTAAGCAGATGGAGAACGAATTTCTAGTGTAACAAGTTATTCTTCTTTGTTGGAGTGGGATGAAATTACTCCGGATGAAGCATTCGATGACATAGTGCTTCCGTTTTCGAACTTTCTAGATGCCGCTGAAGCCGTCATTCTCGGAGGGATGTTAGTTGGGTTGGCGGGTGCTTGACCTTCCTCCGATAACTTTCGGATAAGGTTCATAACGGTGGGAATCAGCCTGGTGGATAAGGCGATAATACCAGGAAGCTGCAACCATAGAAAGATGGTTTTAAGTGTTACGGTACATTGTTCTGTAAGAGTCATTGACTAACCAAATGATTTTAGCATGCTCATAAACAGGGACAAAGAGATATTAAGTTCGAAACTCACAACGCCATAGCGGAATTGACCCGAAACGTCGAGTTGCACCCATAGAGCCTTCGCAATTAGGTAGCCGACGAAGATGATAGCCAGATAGAAAGGGTTTCTGCAATGAAGGATATCTGCTAGTAAGCACAAGCAACGGATAGGGACCAAAATTAGTTCAAAGGAATCCAGGCTACCGAGTGCAACGCGCACCTCAGAACAGTCATAAATTCATTAAATCCCAAGACCAGCAAGGCAACAATCGCCCATGGAGGTGGCAACCAGTTGTTGCTACGCTTGTTGGCTTCCTGAAAGTATAAGAAAACTAATCAGGCATCAGTAAAACTCAGACGACAGAAAAAAGATTCATCGGGAAGGATCGGAATGAAATCTTCGAGGTAATTAGAATTTTAAAATTCATGCCTGAGCAGAAATGGCTTGAGTGACAGTGTACTCAGTCTCAGTCGTAAATTGCCTCCACAAAGCCTTGCACTGGACAGGTGTGATCAATGTCCTTGCGGGAGGGACCTGTACCGATTTCGATTAACACGATACAACGTTAGAGAGAGACGGAAAATGTAAAGACCCTACGGCAGCTTTAGCATTACATATTTAGTAGGTGAATGCTACAAATTTTCGTCAATGAATAGTATGCAATGACCAAGCAGTTTGCACGGTTCAACTACATCTCAGAAGGTTCTCAGCAGGAACAAGACTTCACCTGCTCCCAAGTGCTCGTGGCCAGTGGATCCGGCAGTGTGCTCTTGTTCGCAGCTCTACTGCTGGTATCCAACAAGGCAGAAAATAGTATTTTCTCGATATTATCAACACTATCTTCCAACCGAATTGCAGCCATAACAGAGAGCAATTTCAAGCACTGGTAACAGATAATCAGCAAGATTAGCATAGAAGAGAATGTAGCATAATTCTGAAAATAATACATAAACATACTTCAGTACGAGCTGTTCTAGTTATGGCACGAATATCTTCGTTCCCGGTCCAAATCCGAGGCATTGAATCAGCGTCATGACTAAACAATGTTGAAAACCTGTATGCAATTTTTTTCCAGTCACTTCCGGTAATATACAATGTCTTGGAAATCAACCACTTTGACTCAAACATTGAAATGTGTTATTACCTCTCCTTCATACGGATCACTACCCTTCCGGCTTCTTCTTTAGCTTTTGCTTCAACCACTTCTCTGGCGTAATCCTTTAGGCTCGTTAGCATCTTGCCTTTGGCATTTTCATCCAAGTCAAAACCAGAGAGAGCCTTGGACATTCCACTGACAGCCGATTCAGTTTTACACTTAAGAAGGTTCCTTATTGAGAGCCAGGTCTCATTATTAGCTCCATCAAAAAGTGATTCAACAGGTCCTGCCAATGTCTCATTCAGCTTTTCCTGTAAAAGCATTATAATTATCTCAATGATTCAAAGTCCAGTCATAAAAATGTGCAGTTGGATGTCACCGTGACTAATTCTTCAACCGTTATGGAACTCCATGACTATAAACCACCGAAATCATCCAAACGATAAGAATAATCACATGGATACAAACTTTGATACAAAGTAATTTGTTGTTCATCCTTCATAGTATATGAGAATAAAAACAAAGCACCAAAGAGCCATAATACATGGTCTTCAATTGAATTAAACAAGAAAAGTCTGGACCTTCCTTATTCAGACCTAGATACATTGAAGTTTAAACAAATTAACTGTTTTAATATGACATCATAACTAGTTTGGCTAAAATTTATTTTGAAGTAATGCATATTATATGCAACAATTTTAAATTTTCAACAACCTGCAAGTTGAAAACGAAGGGTTTAGGTTACACTATCCGCAATGTTCATAATATTACTTCATCCAGAGATGGACCAAGAGGGAAGCAGGTGAGGGCGGTTACTCCCTACAAATTTCAAATAACTATACATTTTAGATATTTTTTATATTTTTTTATTAAAAATCTGATTTTGTCTCCTTCAAATTTTATAAGTTCGTTCTTCTTTAGAATTTTATAAATTTATCCTATTACATAAAATTATGCTTCCGTCCCTGATTTATTGATTAGGATTGCTAAACAGAAGGTGATTTGTAAATAGTAAAGTAGTTGATAATCATGAAGATATATCACTTAAGTAAATGGTCAGAAGGGGCGGACAGATAAGTTTATGCACCTGATACGATGAAATAAGCTCTGAAAGTTTAGCAGTTTGGACAGAAGCCACATGTGCCTCGATATCTCGACCTAGCTTGTCTCTATATTTAGAGGAATCCCAATTTGCTAGTTCAACAAAAGCATCTGAAAAATGATGTCAAATTCTATCATGAACAGTGCTCTGTAGCTTATTTTATAATGTCAGTTTATAGTAAACGAGAATAATTTATAAAGATCAACCACACCTTCATATCCTTCATCAAATAGAGCCATGTACGATCCAGTGCAGTTACGAGCCGCCACAGCAAACTTCTCCCCTCCATTCAAAGCCTTCTGGAATGCTTCCTTAAATTTTTCAAGAGTTCCAGACCTTAAATGTCCCAGTACGGAGTGGTGGGCTGGTTGGGCAAGCTAAATCAGAAGAATAAAAGCAAATGAGTTGAATAACAACAAAAATTTGAAAATAATAGAGTTGAGTGCCAGTACTTGGAACAGTTTTTCTTGAAGCTGTCTTCTCTTTGATATTCCGACACTTTCATCAAAAAACGTGGCTTCTGAATCATATCTAAAATCAGAACAAAATGAAAAATAAAATTAATGTCCATGATATGGTTGTAAAACCACAGATAATAACTACAGAAAAGTCAAGAATCTTAAATTTGATCATCAGGGCTCTTATTTGGCCAAGTTATGTCATAATTTTCATCCACCCATTTACTCAAGCAATATGCCATTATCACCATCATGAATTACAAGTCGGTAGATTGCCAATCAGTTATCACACCATTCATATTTATCCTTTAGTATCAGAATTCTGTACAGTCACTTTGATAGAACAAATCCCTTATAAGTCAGCGCAGCTCTTCAAAATGCTTATATAGATTTAAGCCCATTTGTAACTTGGCACTGAAACAAATTTCTTGAGATCTCATTAAAGCAATCTTACTCTGATAGAGAAGTGTAGAGAAGTGAATTCAGCTTCTTCCCAAACCCAAAAACTGGACCAGTCTTTACAGCTTCTTCTAAATTACGCCAGCTCTGTTATATGGAGTAATAGGTTGGTTTCTATTTCTAGAAAAATACTCAACTCCCAAACATGTGGATCTGGGAGTGCCTGAATTCAAACATTTAGGATTCACAAACAAATTCACATATCCCCGTACCTCACTTTCAATGAAAGCATCGTATTTTTCATGGGCAATCTCTTCGCAACGTACTGAAGCCACCATGACCTACAGGCAAATGAAACATGCATAACAGAAACATCAACGAGATATACAAATTTACTGTCAAAATAATGTCCAAAAGCTTACCTTATGGGCTGGAAGGTCAAGGTCCTTATTCTCCTTAATGACTTTCCAGATCTGCTGTGCACTAAAAGAGAACCCTGAAGCAGGTACCACTCCCCTCCTATCTCCAGCAAGCCCCCCCGGTGCAATAGAGTGGAAGAATCGTTGTCTCAATTTAGCAACCTTCAGTAGTAATAATAGAATCAGACAAACTGCCCGTTTTCATGCCAATTAGTTGAAAGTCTCAGCACCATTATCCAACATACAGACAAAATTATAAACCGTACGTAGAGATCTTTTATTTTAACAATATCCAGAAAATGTAAACTGCTCCTAACAACCAAGACAAGTGAGAAAAAAGGAAATTCAACAACATGAATGGAAAAAAAAGGTTTTAGGTCATCAAACAGTGAATCAGGTGACGTCCACATGTCTAGATAATAAACCTTTTTCTTTCCATTTAAACAAAGTTCTAAACAGCCAATTGTGTGAAAGTCTCATTTGCATGACATGCTGAATGTCCTTATGGGTGACTTGGATACAGATTATGTACCTGCTCCTTAAATAGCTCTTCCTTTTCTTCATAACTATTAAGTGCCACAACCTCAACCTGGTCAATATAAAAATAGTATTAATCGTCAGAAGCAATAATTATCAGAAAAGATATAAAGAGATGTCAAAACATTTAGTGCATATTGCATGAAATAACGACCCAATGTATCTATACATTGAAAAATTCACTTAATGGGGTTTCCTTATGTGTTTCGGGCTTAGGAACCGTGTCCCATATCTGCAGTTCAAGAAACACGGGTCAGAAGAAAGCATAACTGAATATACTGAGGAAAGCAAGGAAGCATAGGCACCATATACGTGCCTTCTGAATATCTTCTCTCAGAACAGGTTCTAAATTTTCCAGTGGTGTCTGCGTACAAGGAAAATGGTGGGATATAAGAACAAAATAAAGCTTAGATGCTCATAATTCTCAAGGAAAATGGTGGGAAAATAATAGCTCTCCAAACACTAGAGACTCCATAATAGAAGAAAGGCACCCACCCTTGTTTTATCACGAATGACAAACATCAATGTTGTTTTGCGGGGACTAAACAATCTCATCATGACCTGCAACCGATACAACCAAATTAAAAGTAAAAAGGAACCCCTTGAAATTCAGGACACTGATTAGAAAGGCAACAATGTAGCAAAATACCTGGAATACAGTCTTAAGAAGGGGCTTGTTTGCAGCTTGCTCACGTCCAATATCATGACACCACCTAGATGAAAGTTAATCAAGCATATTACTTGGACATACTAATGATGGTAATGAACTTAAAAGAATCAAGCACCATGTAGATGTCAAACCTTACATGTTTATGAGTACTATATCAGAAACCGCCAGTGCAAAAAGTGCACTTTGTTTCTCAAATGCCGTGTCATCCTGGAGTAAGGCAAAACAATAAATAACATGTATTTAAAAAAACTGCCTTCCTCCCCATTTTTCATAAAACAAAGGAAAATCAAATAAATCTCAACAAACAAAAATAGACACATAAAATCCATTTCTTCATCTTTTATAATCTGAATTCCAACTACTGAGTCGATTCAGCTTGATCCATCACTCTAGCTTTCAGAGCAGTGAGACCTCTTTTAAGACATTCAAAAATAATTTAGGGTTCTTTTAACTTAAAAACCCGTGTAATTATATGATCATGATCAGTTCTTCAATTTCACGTACAATCTCCTAATCCATGTCTGAAAATATGATATTGTATAAATATCACCTTTTCTCTACTTTTATGACAGAAAATAATGTGTAACATTCAGAACTAAATGCTTAACATAAAAATAAATAACGACTGACCTTTAATTGATTTTACTCTTCAGTAAAACAAAAATTCATTCAATATTATAACTATTCCTACAACTACCATATCATTAGCATTACCAACCGGTTGAGAATTTCTAAGAATTATTTAGAGGATGTACTTGCTAAAATAGCCATCAAAAGGGGAAAAGATATTTAAGCTGATAAGAAAGAAGACGAACAACAGAGTGAACAAATATTTACACTGGCGGATGCAAGGGTTAACCAGGGCGAGCATGAACCCACTGCCCTAAAGTCTGAATTTCTTTATATTAATTATTTATTTTACTAATGGTGTTTATCTTAAAATTTTATTTGCGATGGTACTTATCTTGAAATTTAATTTGTGCACACTCCATACGAAATATTCTTGTTATTAATATATTTGTGACTAAAAAAAATATTTTTGAATCCGTCACTAAATATTTATCCTTAAATAAAACAATGTAGTTTCAATTTTTTGGACGCTACAGTTAATAATATAATGCAAGTTAGCAACAGCACCTCCCCTCGTTCCCTTCCATCAGTACCCTCCAGATCCATTACTAGAGTGCAAGGCTCTATACCAGAGCACTTTGCCATCCAAATACCTTTCGTGGTTTGAGACCTAAAAGGAAACACATCCCATCAGTTGTTTGAGCCAATTGAAACAAATGCAATGTGTTGTTATTACAGAAAACTAAATTACCTTCCTTTAAATGCATCCATTTCTCTGAAATTGGTGTAAAACAAATTATTTAACAGTGTGCTTTTACCTGTCAAGATCATGAAAAACAAAGTGAAACTTTAAATGACATAAGCAGAACTTACATACCACAAAATTTATTGAAAAAAAACGCAAAAGGTTAAAATCACTCATGGTGCGTGTAATAGGATAAAAATATTGATACAACAAAGATAGATATGAAACACTGAAGTGACTGAACTTCCAACTAATCAAGCCCTAATTAATATGTATTCCACAATTCTAATTCAAAGTACAACCGCTAATGAAGGAGCTTAGTACGAATGGACACCTTATAAACAAGGAAAAGCATAAGTACAAAGCAAGAAATCAAGAAGATATCAAGCATACCGCTGCTCTGTGGTCCCATAATGGAAACCACGGCATACGAGAGCCCGCATTCACCAAGTTTTACTTCCTTGATAAACTGTTCGATTCCAGTAACATTGATTGAGCCATCTCCGTCAATAAGTTGAGTTGAACAACATTCCACATCCGTCGCTGAGAAACGAAATGTTCACAGCATGTGTGAGTGACGCGAATAATAGCTTCCACAACAAACACCGATTCCTTGTTAATTCAAAAACTAATTTCTCCATATAAATTGATCAACGAAATGATATTTAAGAATGCCTCGAGTAATAAAATGCATATAATCTTCGGTGATTACGACATAGAATTCTGTTGAGCGAGATACTTAGAGAGTAGAAAATTCAAATTCATATTCCGATTTTCTTTTTCATTCCCTCAGCTTTCTCAGCATCCAAACATGCAATAAACAAAAAATCCATCTCCGATAGCTCTTTAAGAAAACGTAAAAATTCAAATTCGGATCCAATTTTCGTTATTCTTCTAAAACTAATTCGATCCTCCCCCTCCTTAAAGTCGCGTTACATGCTCTAACGCTCTCCTTCTCATCACATTACGTAAATCAATACAAGAAATCACAAAATCGATAAACTAATGAAAGCAATGAACAGATAATGCAAAAATCAAAACAAAATAAAGAAATTATAAGACGATGAGGAAACATTACCCATTGAATCTTGTTTGAAACCGATAGCTCAAAAGCTGAGGCGAGCTATTTCAATGGAAGACATACAGAGAGAAAATTGAATCGATCCTGAGGAGTAATGTGAAGTTCCTCGTTCATCATCTTCCATTTCTATTTCCTTATCCGTTAAAAGTGGAGTTGACAGTTGACTGCTCCCGCCTCCGGTTTTGAATAGTGACCAATCATGTAATCTGCGGTGTAAATGAATGAATTGAGCTAAAATAAATAAGGTTAATTACATAAAGTTCGAGTATGATTATCCAAATCCAAATTTGAATTATATGTTATTTTGCTTAATGGGATCATGTACAATAATAATTTTTGTCTTAAACTTTATAGTATCAATTAATTTAATATTTATTCAATATATTTAATATATTCAAATTTTTATATCTAAAAATATTATAAATTTAAGTTTTTTTATAGTGTCAAAACAAATGAACTCATCAAAATAAAGCAATAATTAGGTACTTATATTGTACCATTAAAAACAATAATTTATTTTAAATTCTTATTAAAAAGGTATGTTGATCTCTTTAGATGTCTTTGGTTGGAGTAGTTGCATTAGCAAGATATGTGTGGTGTCAATAGGAATATATTAGTTTTTTTATTATTTCAAATTAAGATGAAATCGATAATTTTCATGAATTTTGAAGACTAGAATTATTATTATATCAAGTTTTTTATTATATAACCGTAAATGATCTATTTATGATAATATTTTATTTTATTTTATTTTATTTTTGGATAAGTAGAAGTTTATTTATTAAAAAAGAAACAGCAAGTTGCTACAAATGACATCAAACAGCCTAGATTAATCCCCAAGCTAGGTTCAACCTCCTATTAACATCATCCATCCTGTTCATATGACATCTATACAATTTAATTCTTACAGACTCTCTAATGCTATTTACAATCGTATCAGCAGAACGAATCACACCACGAAAAAGCCTGCGATTACGTTCTTCCCAAAGAAAATAAAAAAAAACAGTCCACGCGAGCTTTAGAATATGAACAAGGAGGGATTTACCCTTCAAGTTCGAAATCAACCAGTGCATGGCATCTTCCCAACAGGTTAGCATATGTAATTGGAGACCACAAGCATGCAGAATAGCTTCTCATATCACCCTTGCAAAGGAACATTCCAAGAACAAATGGTTCCGAGCTTCTTGATTATCACCACACAATCCATAGACATTAACAGTGACAATGTCAAACCTTGCTAACCTGTCTTTGGTTGGCAATCTATCGAGAATCACCATCCAAGCAATAATGGAGAATTTTGGGGTATGAGATGAGAACCAAATAAGCCTATGCCACCCAACCTTATCCCTCCTATCACGGATACGATCCCAAATCCAACCACCCTTGATCTGTGACCAAATAGAAACCGAAATGAACAATCTCCTAGCCTCCTCTCTAAGTTTGACAGCTTGTTGAGGATCCAACTGAAATGGGGTTTTCTGTCAACATTCCAATAGTCCAAAGATTTGAAGCAGTAATCTTTAATCCAAGCGATCCACAAGGAACCTTCACTGGCCAAGATGTTCTTTACAAGCATCAGGCAGCAAGCCTTACTCCAATCAGCTAACTTTCTTAATCCCATACCACCCTCAGATTTTAAAGAACAAATCTGACTCCAGCTCACCCTGGCACCTCGAGCTGAAGTATCACAACCCTTCCAGAAAAAACCGCATACAGAGCTTTTCCGCATCATTAACAACCCCTTTGGGCAGGATAATCTACCTGCTCCAATAACCAAAGATGCTAGATAAAACAGATTTAACCAACTGCAACCTCCCTCCAAAACTAAGATTCCTGCTCGACCAATGATCGATCTTATTCTTAATTTTCACAAGGAGAGCCGAACAATCTTTACTAGTAAGCTTCCGAGTAACCAAAGGCACTCCCAGATACCTGACTGGAAGCTGCCCAATTTTAAATCCAATGGCACTCTGTATCTGATCCAGAAGACTCACAGAACACCACAAGCAAAGAAAAGTAATATGGTTATTATGAAATATTTGATTCGTTGTGATTAAATGATGGTTTTAAATTAAAACCCAAATCAACTTGCTTGGGCCTTAACTGGTTGACCCATCAACTAGTTTTACCTTCTTCATTCATTTTCCATTAATTAGGAGTTTAGCAACAACAAAAAACAGTTTTTCAACGGAGAAAAAGGCGGGGAAATGGCAACGAAATCCCTTATTCAAAACGGAGCTTTGTTCATGAATCGAGTGTTCATGAATCAAGTTCTCAACCCGAACCCGATTTCAAACCACCGGGTCGTGAATCAAGGCTTTCAAACCACTCCCCAGCTGTTCCAGTGTCTCTCGAAGCCAATACCAGCTCTACATTTGCCTCAAAACGACGCTGATTATCTCTCTCAAGTCTCGTTCTCTCTATGTATTTGTTTACTTTGAAATGAAGTGTGGAAAGTGTAATTCTACAGCTTTCAACCATGGGTTCTATTATTCATTTGTATCTTTTTTTATTAAGTTAATGTCTTTAGCTGATTTCCATTTAATTTCAATGTTGGTCAGCTTTAGTTTATGTCACAGAAACTCATTGTTAATCTTTTTCATATGGTATATCTTCATCAAGGTTTGCGTGAAATTTTCTTTGATTGAAGTATGAATCTTTGATGCTGTTGATAATTTGTTAACTGGTTTCACTTTACTTGCATTATTGTTGTTCACTTCAGGAGATTCATCAAGTGAGCCAATGCTTTGTTTCCCGAAGAGAACATATCAGCCTATTACCATCAGGAATGTTTCCTTCTCCTAACTCAAATCAGTAAATTTTGGAACGTTGAGATCCAGAGCATAGACAGAATAGTTGATAGTTTTGCTTGAACTATAGCCTGAGTTGGAAAAGCTGAACCAGGGATATTATGCTTGGTAATTTTGCTGGGGAACTGTTCTCTCGAATCATTAACTTTTAGCTTGTCTGAAATTTATTGCATAGATATAGTAGTTGATGATTTCACTTGAACTATGGTTTGATTAGTAAAACCCGAATCTTCTATATTTTGCTCGTTAATGTTTCCTTCTTCTCTTATCGTGAATCATTAGTTTTTGGCATGTCGAAATTCAGGGTGTCAGAATGGTAGTTAGCGGTTTCGTTTAAACTTCAGTAGCCGTGTAGATGGCTCCCTCTTCTACATGATGTAAAGCCATTTTCTGGTTTTGTTTTCTCGTATAAGTATTTTTTTTTACATGAACAGCAAGGGGACCAAGGGCGGCAGGAGAGTCATTGCTCGAAGATTAGAAAAGGGTCGTTCGAGAATTACAGCTCAGAATCTGTGATTTTTGTGATATTTCATCAGAATCAAATCTAGAAGCTGGACGAAATAAGTTACAACTAAGTAATTTCATAGCACCTTTGTAAGTTCTGTTGGCTCTACCTTTCTTTATTCAGATAGATGTATGCCTACTTTTCGATTTGCAAATTGTTAGCAAGTTATTTATATATTTTATTTGCAATTCGCTTAACCGTGCCCGGCCGTTTAGAACAATTCAAAATTCGAGTCCGATTCCGGTTTCAGGGATTCTGTATGGTAATACAAAATAACTTTCGAGGATAAAACGGCAAGTGTAACCCCCTAGACCCGGCCTATACGTTTCGACTAAGTCTAGTGGATCACATTATGATTATTAAATACATTTTTCGAAACCGTTATTCCATCAATATAAAATCACATTATAAATAACATAAAATTATAAACAAATTATACTATCAAAATCGAACTCGTAAATATAGTACCAATAAATAATAATTTAATTTAAAACTTGTCTTCAAATTCAATATCACAATAATCCGAGCAGTATTAGCAAAAGAGTTATCATTATAACATCCGATATTTTAAAATAAGGTCCATGTCACCAAAATAAAGTCAACTTGCCAGATAAAAACATTACAATTTGATTTACTTCAAGAGATATGTTGATCCTCCAAGTGCTCGAACCAAGGTATCTAACCAACAGTATCTGAAAGGGGAAAACATTTTCAAAAGGTGAGCTAGGCTCAGTGTGTCCCAACATTTCCATAAAATCACAATAGGTACAAATCATAGTCCAGTAATCTCACAAATTCGTAAAAGAGTTTAACTTTTTGAAAATCATAGTTTAAACCCTTTTCTGGTACACCATCAGTAGTTCCCAAAAGTATTTTCCATATAGCTTACTTTATGCACATAGCAAAAAGAAAGCCGACTTAAGGATAGGCTATGAAGCTTGTATCCTTAAGCCCAAGTCAATAAGTCCATATAGCTTACCCTAAGCACACAGCAAAGGAAAGCCGACCTAATGAAACATCTTGGGGCCCTCAAGAGTCACATTAGGCCCAGTTAGCTTGATCAGAGCTATTCCATCGTATTTCAATTCCAAAATTCAATTGCACCGTGAAATAAATTCCATAAATCCAAAAACATGGTAATCATATACCATTTCAAAACAAAAATTAGATAGCAGCCATATTCCATAAATTGTCACATTAAATTGGTGCATCCATAAAACAATAGCCAATGAATTCGGTGTACCACATATTAAAACCAATAAAACAGTTCAATAATAAGTAGGGAACACACCTCGACAATAGGTTCAAATAGCAAATTTACTGATTGATGGTTTCACCACGCTCTGCTACAATTTTCGAACGGGTGAATACTGGCACACGTGGTTTAACTGATCTAGAAGAGCTGGGTCGAGCTGTCGAACGATCCGGAAAGTCTCTTGTACCTTCAAACAATAATATTTATCAGTCTCAAATCCTATTTAATTGTTCAAAGCTAGTCTTCTCAAGTATATAAGCATTTTTCGAGTTTGACTATCAATTTGGGGTATTTCGAGTCTGAATTTGGCCAAACGGATTGCAGAAACGGAATCAGGACGTCGAAAAATATAAAGTATGACTTTTTGGAAATTCAGATTCTTGGTCAGAGTCAAAGTCAACCACTTTGACCGTCGATTTGGAGACCTTCGGGTTTGAATTTGGTGAAACGGACTACGGAAATGGATTTGGCACGTCGAAAACTATCAGGATAGGTATACTCGGAA